ACTTCTTATGCATACTTACATTGGTCCAGCTTGGCCTAATGTAAGTATGCATATGTCATATCTGATCAACCACTGGGCATCATGTAAAGCACTAGGGTTGCAAGTAATGATTATTTTCATAAACGATTAGTTGGCCGAATAATTTTTCAATTGGATAAAAAAAATATATATCATCTTTCATTTAAAATAAAATACACAAATGCAGTGTTACATGCAAAAATTTGCTTCAGAATAAAACGGCATGCACAATTTTTTGCAATCGCACTGCACTGGAATGCAGGGCATTGCGGTACCACGCGTTCCAATGCAGGCGATCGCACTGCGGGCGGGAGGTGTGTTTGAGATGTTATTGAAATGAATGGCACTGCAACACACCCCTGGTAGAATTTGTGGGACTGAAACTATTTCCCACCTTTTATAATTTTTATAAAAAGTATTACGTTAGACATTTTAATAAGTTTCATGGATTTAAAATAATCTGAATTTAAAAATTCCAGCCAACGTAAACAAATAACCAAACTTTTATTTAAAATAAACACAAAAAATTGGACAAAAAATACTAGAGCAGTGTCCAGCAGGGAGGAGAGGAATGTTTAGGAGGCCGAGCGGGGCAGGGAGGAGAGTGCTGTGAGCTTGTCACAGGAGGCCGAGCTCTCCTCCCGCACTTCCCCAATTGGCATTCCATGATAGATCAAGGTGAGGAGTAGTGTGGGGGAGGAGACAGCTGTAATCTGTCACAGGAGGTGGAGCCGGCGGTGCAGGGCGGAGACAGTTGTCAGCCATGCCACAGGTGGCTGAGCTCTCCTTCCCACACAGCTTCCTGTGACAGCAAGTCAGGATGGAGAGTGGAGAAGAAGTATTTGTAAAACTATTGCTTTTACTCTGGCGCACATGGCAATACCCGACATGTATAGCGCAATTGTCATTTTTGTACGTAGGTGCACCAGACTTGTGTTTGTGTTCCTATGCGTGTATTTGCAGGGAAAGGGGACTTTACTTTTCTTGGTATTTTTAATATTGTATTCATCTTTTTTTTGTTAACCTTGTTGCTATCACGTTTTTTCAGGATTTCTATAAGGTGACATTAGGGGTCTATTAGACCCTTAGGGTCTCCTTTACACTTTAAAGGAGCTATTCAAGCACACATGGCTTGAACAGCTTCAGCCAGGTAATGTAAACACAGCATGCAGTGGGTGTGTGCAATAGCCAGCCTGCTATTGGCTATTTCATTTTGAAATAGCCAATAGCAGGCTGGCTATTGCACCCGCCACTGCCTGCTGTCAATCAGCAGAGGAGGGACCTAAAGGAGAAAGTTCTCCTTCAGGTCCTCCTCTGCTGATTGACAGCAGGCAGTGGGCGGGTGCAATAATCAGCCTGCTATTGGCCATTTCAAACTGTAATAGCAGACTGGACATTGCACACCCACTACGTCTGAGCCTCTAACCCGCCCAGCAGTGCCACACTGTGTCCTGAACCACCACCCCCTTTGGCATCTCTCTCCCTAGTGCCCGATAGCCGGTCTGTGTTCCTTCAGATGCTCGCTGCCTCTGCCGATACAGGCAGGGAGGAGCAGCGGGATCATAGGTGACAGACTGCAGTGGCAGTTCAGAGGCAAGTCAGTGGTGGCGAACAAACTTACAGCAGAGGTGGAAGGAACGGCTAAGCATAGCACGGCTGAGCTGAATCAACTAATCGATGAGAATCGTTGACAATGATTCGCATAATCGATTATATTAATTAGACGTTGCATCCCTACACTGAGTTAGCCGGAGCTACAGTGCTGTGCTGAGCGGCTTCTGAATTGAGAAAGCTAGTTGGATGACCAGTGAAATGTCTTCAAGGAAAAATATAACAAGTTCAGTTGCCTTGACTTATTTTTTACAGATAAACCATGACCTGGATGAATGAGAACCTTGACAGAGAACATTCACTATCCTGTGATTGGCTATTTCAAATTGCAGAGCTGGCAATTGGGACAATACATTGGCAACAAATGTTACATTGTGGCAATACATGGGCAAAAAACAGGCAACCACCTATACTAGCAATGACAAATTAAAAAAACAGTCGGCCTCGCTTTCCCCTACCTTGCTACAGGGCTCTGGCCCATCCCCCTTCCCCCATTGGGCCGCACATGGCCAAAAGGAGAAGCAATTGGTCAGGCTGCTGAGAGACTGGTGTAGTGGTACTGACATCACTACTTAAGTCAACCAGTTAGTGCTGGAGCCAGAACCATAGGGAACTCCTGAGGCCTAGTAAAGTGGTAATTTTTACCTTTTTCAGCGAGGGTTCCTCCAGCAGTTGCTAGAGGTTCCATCTGATGAAAAATGTTTTTCTCTCAGATAAGTAACCACTGACAAATGATCTGGTTAACCATCTGCTGGGGGAGGCGGAATTCTTCCCACTGACCACAAATGTATGGAGCACTCTTGCCACCCATCATCTTAATCATTTATTGTGAGATATAGATTTAGTAATTCCCCCGAGACCAGAACGTTACTTCAAGGGTTCCTCAGTGATAAAAAGGTTGTGAATGTTAGAGACTCCGACCCAAATCCAGAGTTACTCAATATGATGGAAGCTGTCATTGGGACATGAAGATACACATACACAAAAAAAGTTTTGGCTGGAATTAGACTTTACTAAATGCAGGATTAGAACTCAATTGACATTCCTAAATATGTAAAAGATATAGAACAATATCTAAATTTGCAAGTGTTTTCTAATTTCAGGTATGGCATACAAGAAAATGGTACGATAATGAAGAGTCAGCTGTCATTCAAACAGCTGGGTGGATCTCGACAGCATTGTTGGGATCAGTCTCGGCTGCGGCGGTCTCAGTATACCGCGAGCTGTAGCTCGCGATATACTGAGCTTTGGGTCATGGGAGGAGGGTAGTATATGTCCTCCCATGACCCTTAAGAGAACTATGGGGAAAAACACTTATCCCATAGTTCTCTTTTAAGCAGCTCAGGTCCAACTCTCATTTTTTTAAAACTCTCAAAGAACTGAGAAAAAAGAAATAGAATGAAAAGAGACAGACAGCGACACACCGGAGAGACTCCTGCAAGTGCCCCCACTTTAGAGCTGCAGCTAACGATTATTTTCAAAATCGATTAGTTAGCCGATTATTAAGTTCGATTAATCGGTTAATCGGATTAGGGGCGGCGTGTGGAGCGGGGAGGGGAGCGGGTCTGGCAGCGGCGAGCGGGTCTGGCAGCGGCGAGCGTGAGGTGGGGAGGCGGTGCGGCGCACAGCGCGTGGAGCTGTGAACAGGGCCAACTGATCTGAAAACGATTAATCGATTATTGAAAAAGTTGACAACTTTTTCAATAATCGATTATAATCGATTATGTCGATTAGTTGTTGCAGCCCTACCCCACTTGTCTCTCTCAAGCACCCGAATCTTCCGCACCTCATGCAGAATGTCACACGCCACCACCTGGACAGGAAGGATTTTACACCGAATGGAGACCTGACACCATGCGTTCCACGTGAAATAACAGACCACTAGGCACACAAAAGATCCCTCCAGCATTGAATGCTCCATACTCCCCCTCTGCATAAGTCAGCCTAGAGAGGAGAACACTGAGGGCCTGCCCCATCTGTTTGCATACCTCTATGGTAAAAGGACAATGAAGCAGAAAATGGTCCATAGTCTCCTTCTCACCCGCACACTCCTCTCGAAGACAACCACGTTCCATCACACTGGGGTGTTTCAAATTTATACTCCATTTTGTCCAATGCTGTACAGAATTTACAAACTGGACCCCATCCACACCGAATCATGAGCGTAGCCAGGTGATTAGAGGTTTTTGTGCCTTTTTTACAGGCCGCTCGTAGTACAGGAGCAGAATCATGGGTTTTTGACCCCATACTTTTTGGGCCGGTTCGCTGCTGAACACACTGGAGCGCATCCCCGCCGGCTTCCTGCATTCAGGGGCATGGTGGTGCGTTGAAGTCAATGGCACCGCAGCCGTGCCGCCCACCCCGGATTGTGTGGCACATTAGTGCCGGCGTTCCGGTCGAGTGAAGAGCAATCTGAAAAAAAATAGTGTATGCAGCATTTTTTGAGATCCCACTGGACTGGAACGCAGGCACTGATGTGCCATGCGTTCTGTGCTGGCAATCACACTGCGGGCAGGGGGCTCAGCTGCGGTGCCACTGAATTCAATGCACGCTACGCCTCCTCCCGCAGGAAGCCGGCCGGGATGCCCTCCAGTGCGTTCCAGCAGCAAATCGTGCTGAAACGCACTGGAGCTGGTGTGAACCGGCCCCTAAATTCGAGCGCCTGCAAAGCATGCATAAACACATTCAGGCAACCCCAAGTCCGGCCCAAAAGAAACTCATGTACCTTTTCCAGATTTAGCACCAAGTGTTAATAGTCGGGTGTGAATGGGCACCATTGAGGATAATGGGATACTTCATCTTGAGTGTTGTAACGCTTCAGGAATCAGCACTCTGGTGTGAATGGAGCTTAAAAGGAGACCTATGGGTTAAGTGTTTTCCCCATAGTTCTCCTCAGGGTCACGGGAGGACATAAACTAGCGTCCTCCCGTCACCCTAAGCTCAGTATACCGCGAGGTACAGCTTGCGGTATACTGAGACAGCCGCAACGGATTCCGACATTCACCCCAATTCACCCATCTGCGTGATTGACAGCTGGCTCTGCCTATCTAGAGGCAGAGCCCGCTGTACCCGCCCCCTCCCCCGTTCATTCCTCCAGTCCGCGCTGGAGGATCGGAGCGGAATCCCTGCAGGGAGCCGTGAGTGACAGTCACGGCTCTCTGCAGGGACAGGATCGAGAAGCGAGCGAACCGTCGCGGTAGGTGTTTGCTCACTTCTTGATCTATTGAGCCAGTGTGTCACAGTTTCATTGTCACACGTTGGCTCGAACTATGAGGTTGAGTGAAAATCACTCACCTCATAGTTCTCCTTTAAACAGAGGGTTTTTTTTAGCTACAAAATGTAAATATGGCTATCAAATAAAATCAACTTACTGTCATCCTGCTGTGTATTGTAAAATATCCCACTCTTCATAATGAGAATACCAAAGAAGACGATGAACAGGCCTACTGACAGTACCCTCACCAGTTTGGACAAATAATATTCCAGAGCTCTACTCCAATTTGGTTTACTTAGTGCAGGATGTCGACTCGGATAATGGTCATCATTTGCATCCCACTCATATCTGGAGCGATGCCTACCCTCATCTCTAAGTAAAGGCAAACTTGATAAGCTACTCCTTTCACTTGTTGATCTTGACCTTAGGTCCTGTCCCAGGACGCCACTAGATTCAGCAGTGTTCCTTGTAAATCTTACACCTCCCGAGGAGAACCTGGCCTGGCCTCCAACATCAAAAGTGGTTCTAGGAAACCTCTCCACTTCCTGGGAGGACTTGGCCTCCCGCCCCAAGGAACCATAGTCAAACATGGTTCTAGGAAACCTCTCCCCTTCCTGGAAGGACTTGGCCTCCTGCCCCAAGGAACCATAGTCAACAGTGGTTTTAGGAAACCTCTCTCTGAACTGGGAGGACCTGGTCTCCTGTCCTGAAGAACCATATTCAAATGTGTTTTTGGGATTTCTCTCCCCTCCCAAGGAAGAGCTATGTTCATATCCTAAGTAGTCACTATGCTCAGCTGTACCTCTAGTTAAATTACTCCCTGCCAGTAAGGACCTGTCACTCTTCCAAGGCCCTGTGTCCCCCACGTGGGAAGGAGAAGTAACACTTTTGCTGTCAAAGTAAAACCTATCATCTCCCCTTTCCACTCTGCTGCTACCCCCATAGCTATTCCTCTCTACCGCGCGGCTCTGCCGAGCGGACACGTTCGTCCTGTGAGGTAAACTCTCCTCGTCTTCATCCTCCTCCTCTTCTTCCCAATCCTGTCTTTCGTTTTGTATGGGTTCACTGCGCCTACTTCTTGTGCTCTCCTGGCCTTTTCTTGCCCTCTCGCTCTCCTTAGAGTTTTTCTGGCTTCTCGCAGAACCCGCTTTTAAGTTTTTAAGCTTTTTTTTATACACCCCCCGCGTACTGTCAGTGATCGGTCCCGGCGAGAAGCCAAGTTTCAGCAACTCTTTCCGAAGCTCGGCGTCCGACATGTTTTTGGTGGCTTCCAAGACGTCACTGGCACGCCTCTTCCGCAGCGCCATGTTGGTAACGGGCCAACAGATGGGCGGATACTACGCTGAAGCAGAAATCGGCCATGTTTGTATAGTAGATAGACTGGTAATGGTAGAAAGAGCACACACTCTGCAAAGCGTTTTTACTTGGCGCTGTGGTTTAACGTATATGTAAACTTGATCACAACAAAATCTCGTATATGTTTTAAGAATGTTGTAATTTTAATAAATTATTATCAATCTTTTTCAAACCTGCTTTTCATTGAAATAATAACTGGTGACCCATCCTGCCATGAAAGTTCAAGCACTTCCTGTTATAAAGTGACAGCTAGGGATGAGCTTGAACCCAGCTGGAACCTGAGCTGCTCTATGGGAATTTCCTCCCAATCACAGACATCCCAACCTGCAAACTCAGTTCAGGGAGGTGCCCCCCCCCCCCCTTCTTTCTCCTTCTGGTCCGGAGGAGGACCTAATGGAAATATTCAGGGCCACATCGGCTGATTGACAGCAGCAATGGACGTGTGCAATAGCCAGCCTGCTAATGGCTATTGCAATTTGAAATGGCCAATAGCAGCCTAGCTATTCATTCCCCTGCTATCTGTTGCTGTTGTTTTTTTTTTTTTTTTTTTAATGGCGGTGGCTGCTGTCAGAATTTAATAAAAAAAACAGCAGGGGAATCAGCAGATAGCTGGGGATCCCGGAAAGGTTTACTCAGCAGAGTAAACCTTATCGCGCTACAATGTTTCTCTTGCGAGTTTCATGGAGGCACTATCTTATAGCAGGAGACTCCTGTCGGGAGTGTTGGGATGTCTGCAATCAGCTGCGGGTTGGGCATTTCCCACGCCGCAGCTGATCATAAACAAAAAGGGGGGGGCGCTTTTCTGATATCATTCACTTTAAATGGCCATAATAATTATCTTTTACTTAATATAGCCATGTGGTCATATAAGGTCAATGATGTCACTGCATCCTGCCCCTTTGTTTAAGTGCAGCTGCAGGCGGGAAATTCCTTGGTCATAGCCGATTAAGTGACAGCAGAAAGATTCCTTGGGTTCGGAAGAGCTCAGGTTTCGACCAGATTCATTCCGATCATGAGCTCATCCCTAGTGACAACACTCTTGTTCCTGTCTGTTGCCCAGTTGTTCTGCATTGTAACCTTGTCATTAGGGTTGCCACCGCTCCCTCCTGTATAATACTGGTTTATTCCAGATTACAAAATAAAATGATAACTCCTGTATCGAATTCAATACAAGGTACAGTTTATCCCGTTTTTCCTTGCAAACGCCCTTAAAATGCCCGGCTGCCAGCACCGCAACAACTAATGACCGTGCGACCAGGACCACCGTTTATCATGAAACAGGTTTATCCCGAAAAGGTTTACTCTGCTCTATCTAGCAGAGTAAACCCCTATGGGATCCCCTGCTATATGCTGATTCTCTTCTATCTGTTGTTTTTTTTTATTCTGACAGCGGCCACCGTCATAATAAAAAAAAAGGAAAACAACAGATAGTAGGGGAATTTATAGCTAGGCTGCTAGCTTAAGATAAGCCAATAGTCAATCAGCGGAGGTGGACCAGAAGTTCTCATTATTTGTATTTAATTCTCATGGGGGCCACCTTCAAAATGAAAAATAAAAAAACACGGGCGCATGCGCGCGGCTGTTGATGGCAGAAGGTTTTTGAAACGGCTCCGCAGCTCTCCCAGGCAAACCTCTCATTAGCAAGGTGTTAAGTACTCCTCATGTACCAAATCTACCTAATCTTTCTTCACTACTAGTGCAGCAGACCATGTCTAACTCAACCCAGGGTGGCCAGAAAACCAAGGGTAAGCCCATTGCCGAGGCAATGGCCCAGGGTTCTGCTAAAATGGCACAAGAAAAAAGTTTCCCAGCACACTCACCAGCCAGCATGCAAAAAAACTTGTCTCACCGCTAAGGTTAAAAACAGAGGTTTAGATACACATCTTCTGCAGAAAATGTGGAAGCTGCACTGCCTCGCCAAGGCACCTCTATATAGTGGGTCCTAATTTTAAACTATGAGAGTCTCCATCTTGGATCACATGTAGCTAAAGATAAAATTGGGTGCAGGTTTGTCAGGAGGAAGCCCAACCTCCTTAAAGGCACAGGGACGCATGTTGTACTGTATGAAGCCCCAACCATCCCCTTTACAACTCCTGTGCCCATGTTTTGAATATGGTTGTAGTTACGAAGTATTATGAGCATCTCTAGTTTTAGTTTGCCAGTTATGTATCATTTTTGGTGCTACTTCCTTTTCTAGGTTTGCCTGGTGGAGCATGTCACTGTCCCCCCATGCCTTGGACAGTTTGGAATCCTCCGGATCCTTCTGCCCAACGTTCCAGGAGTGAAGTAGTTATTTTCCACTTCCTATTTTTGTTTCTGTTTTGCTTTGTACAGTCTGCTGTCATGTATGTTCCCCTCTCCCCCCTCCTCTCTTTCTTTCTCTTCTTTCCCTTCAGCTCCCGCCCATGGTTTGTGTGCTTACTTACTCACTAGGTCCAACTCGCCGTCCTGGACCTTGAACGACTTGTTACTGTCGGACCCGACTTCAGGAGCGACAATTGTGCATTTCCAAATATATCACTCTTAACCAAACTCCCGACGTCTCCCTGTCACCATATGGGAAAGCTATAAACCTGTCCCCAGAGGTAAGATTATCCAGCTGTCCTCTAGACTTAAAAATGAACAACTACAACGATTAACCTCACTTGAACATAACTTTAATACTTTTTTCTGAGCTTTCTCTTTGGATTAAACCTGGAATCGACTTACCAGGCCCTTAACCTATTACTGACAGACCGCACTGCTAAAACAACTCCACTGCATGGCCAATAAATACTAGCTGAAGGGCATTAAGGCGGATTCTCTCCTAGCCACTAAACTAAAAAGATCCTTGATCCTTATTTTAGGCCCATTAAATTGCGCACCCCCTCGGGACCCCACACCTGTAACCCTATTAAAATCCTTGACATATTCCAACAACACCTTTCCACTCTTTATTCCTCTCCAGGTCGCTTCTCCACGACTATGGCAGACCAGTTTTTTACTGGCCTAGATCTCCCCCATCTTTCATCGCAGGAGGTCCAACAAGCCATATCCTCTCTTTCCTGAGGGAAATGACCAGGCCCAGACAGCTTCACAGAGGCGTACTACTGTGAATTCAAAGAACTCCTAGTCCCCTCATTAGCAGCCTCCAATTATTGTCTCCATAGTGGTGTTCCCATAGGTCGAGAATTGCTCACTGCATCTATCTGTATGATCCCTAAACCTAACTCTGACCATTCCATTCCCTCTAACTTCAGGCCAATCTCCCTACTCAACGTAGATATTAAATTGCTTGCCAACGTACTGGCTAATAAAGTAAACCTAGCAATCGGACATATAGTAAACAACGATCAAGTAGGCTTCATTCCCACACGTAAGGTGAGCGACAACATCCGTAGGATCACACTTCTTACCCGTATAGCCAAAACTAGTGTAAGCAGATTCCAGCCATGCTCCTGTCTCTAGATATTAGAAAAGCATTTGATACCGTCTCCTGGACTTACCTTTTCTACACTTTTCTCTAGGATCGATCACATTTTTGTCAATACTTCTTTATCACTAAACAGGGTCCTTGAGTCCACCCTAGATAAAGACTTATGGCAGCAGTCTTGGATGAACACCATACTGTCTGAACCGATAGTTAAAGACCCACATTTTTCCCTCCATAATTGTAAGCCAGCTGGCCTACCCCATAAGGTCTTTAAGCTCTCCCTCCACATTTTAACTGCAGCTAATAGGGATATTGCGAAGAACTGGCAGACAAAGTCCCTTAGTATTTCCAGTGTTACAGGCCATGTTCATTGGATAATGTCCCATGAGAAACACAAAGCACAGCTTGACAATGCTATGTCAAAATTTGAATCTATCTGGTCCCCATGGATTTGTAAATACTTTACCTCCGCTACACCTCACCGTCTTCTCACCATCTAAGCTAATTTTTGCCTCCTCATTATTGAGGTCGTCCTCAGACCCCTGCGTGCAACATGGTTCCTCCTCTTCCCCCTTCCCTGTCTCTGACTACATCTTCCTTTCTTTCCTCTCATTCTCCTCTCCTGTTATGTCGATTGTCTCCTGTGGTGTCACCTCTAGATTAATGCCATTAACACCCTGATTTACTGTCCACATAACATACATTTGTATACCACTATCTCAGTTACTCAATCTGCATGGCCTGGGACCCGTCCAGTCTGTTCAATTTCTGACAACAACCCAATGCACCAAGTGCAGGGCTTTATGGCTGGAACCTTGCACTTCCCAGACATGTAACCTGAACGGTCATCTTTTACTCGAACCCCTTTGGCTATGTCATGGGACCCGACCAAAGGTGCAGAATATCGTACACAACTCGTTGTATCCAGCATCTATTTTGTGTCATTGCATAGCACTTACCTCCTACAAGTGATGCCTATATGTTCTGTTTGAATGTATTATCTGTTATACTTTTTTTATGTTGATACTGTATACTTGAAAATGTTTGTTTTCGATAAACATTTATACGAGAAAAAAAAACACAGAAAGGAGCAGCATGTCCTCTAGACCTCTAAGGTGGTGTCTGAGAAGTGACTGGATCTGGTGCCGGTACTCCATGTGGAACTCATAAGTGCTGGCAGCTATACGTTATAGAGAACACCCAACGCTGGACTGGGGGTGAGGTGAGTTTGACTCTGACTGAAGCAAACAGAATCTGGAGCAGTTGCCCATGGCAACCAATCAGCATCTCTCTTCAGTTTGCTCAGGTAAGATTTGAAAATGAGAAAGAAGCTGATTGGTTGCAGTGCTAATCTGCTACTTATTTTGTCCGCTCCAGTTTTGATAAATTCCACCCATAGTATTTAAGGTTAAAAAAAAAAACATAAAATCCACAGTGTCTGGGATTGGCTTTTAATCATTAGAATTTGTCAACAATCATATAATTTCCAATGATGTCCAAGGACCTGAAC